ACACATGGCTCAGACTACATCTTCACTAATGATTAAAATTTCCATAACAAGGCCCTATTGTTTTCCTAAGGATTATTCTTTGCACAATTGTTGGTATCATCAGCCATTAGGGTTAGGCAAGTTAACATGGCACCCTTTTACAAAGAGTGTTTTTTATTTTTATTTTATTTTTTATGAGGGTCTCTGTAATGCTGCCCTTATATATTCTTATATTAATCAAACTTCATAAACGTATACCCAGTTCAGAGGGAACGTTCTCATAACTTTGGCCAATGTCAAGGTTCTCTCAAAGTTATGAACAAAGTTCTTCCAGTTACATTAATATATGTTTGTTCAATATCATCTGGTTTTCAATAATGTTAGCACAAAAACATTATACATTGTTTGTTACATGTCAATGTTGGTAGAAAACGTTTCTAGAACAACATTCTTAGAACACAGGTCTATTTTAAACATTAGAATGACAAATAACTTCAAATGAATAACGTTGTGTCTGCTGTTTCTAGTTATTGTTCCTAACTTTTATCTTACATCTATTAAGGATCACTTGCTCAATGTCTTAAAAATGGTAATGTTGGATGCACAGCAAAATCCCATTTTTAATGAACACAGTGTTTATGTGTCCAGACAACATGATGTTTTAGTAACAAAGTTCAGGAGGAGCACGTTCAGTTAATTAACACGAGTGGACTGCACTCAGCAATCATTGATAAGAGGTGTATATAAATATTCAGCAATCTCACCTCACTCTATTTATAGTTTAGTAGCAGTTAATAGCGTCTTGGTTCACTGCTCTGCTATCATGTCTCAACGACCAAGCTCTTCATCCGATGAAGAAGTACGTATCGCCAGAATGTGCCTTCGCATTCTGCTGGCCCTCGACTATTCTTCCTACGCCGGACATCGCACCTGAGCCCCGGATTTCTACACGTGGCCGCACACCGGCCCGATCAGCCCTGCTCTCACCAAGACGTCGAGGCCAGTCTTCACCACCCCCGGCAAGACTTCCATCTTTCTCTCCGGCCTCCTCCTACAGCTTGCCAGTCCTGACGATCCCACCTATCGGGAAATGGACCGTAGCTGGATTGAGCGCTGGGGAATTCAGACGTACAGGCTTCGCGAAAATTGAATTGAGCGGAGCTGTACGATCTCTACGTTACCTTATCTCTGTCAGCCAACCAATCTCCAAAGTCAACACCAACTCCCAAGACGACTCCCAGGCAGAGCAAAGCCCTCAGGGCCTAAAAGTCGCCTCCCCAGTCAACACCATCGTCCTCCCGCACAAGATCCAACTTAATTCGTCCATCGCGACTTAGGCCTTCAGTGAGCCTGGGCCACGCCCCAGATTCCGCCATTACAGATCCAGCCCTCCACCACGACTCCCGCCTTTCGCAGAGCTGTACACAGCAAAGCCCAGCTTCTCCACAGCCTCCAGTTTGATTCTCACACTTCTCAGAACCCTTTTCCTTTTCAGTGGCCTCCAGCTCCAGTCGTAGACACTAACGCAAGGCTACTGCCGCTATCACAGGCGCAACCCTTTCATCAGTTTCATCCAACAGTTTTCAACCCTCCCACATCCAGTGGCCTGCAGCTCCAGCAGCTGAGAAAAGCACAAGCCCGCCTCCACTTGCACCACAAGCCCACTCTTCTTTCTACCACCCTTCCTTTCCTTTCTATCTTCCAGTTAACTTTCCTTTTCAAGCCACAGCGGGTAATTCAAGCGTGAAGCCGCCGCCAACATTCGCAGTCCCAGCTTACACCCTTCCCAGCTCTCTCATCTCTTCTCTTCTTTCATTTTCTGAATTTTCAGTAGCCTTTTTCTGTTTCATCAAAATATTTCACGAGTTGCCAAGTGGAAAAAAACACAATGAGGGGGTGTTCATGTGCATTTTCCACGTCGGCTTTTGGTATTTACCATAATTACAATAGCATGTGAACGCACCATTATTCCACATGTAATAAAGTAAAGCCCTGTGGCAAACACAGCAGATGTTAGAGTGAAAAAAAAAACTATTTTGAGGTGTAAAAGTAACGTTTTTTACTTTGATTCTTTTTGTTATGGGAATGTCTGCTTTATAGGAAACTCATTAAATCTAAATTATATTTATTGTGTGTCTGTGTAGATATTTTTCATGCAAGTTGTTAATGCTAATGTTTTGCCTGTTAGCTGTAAGGTGAGCTAGTTCATACATGACTCTGGGTTAGTTCACAACAATGAAACTTTACAACCTAACCTTAACACCTTACACACGTCACACACACACACACACGCACATGTAAGAGCCCTGAAAAGGGGAATAGTTTTAAGATAGTTGGATGAAAAATGCACGGACACAATCTTTCCTCAGGTCAAGTGTATAATGACTCAATATCAACAAATGCAACGTCAGTACAGTTACATACACAAAATAATATTACATTTTATATATATATATATATACAATTCTAACCATTATCTCTTATCAGTAATAATGTCTGAAGCATTTAACACTTTCACTACCGGTTAAATACGGCAATACAAATGCAATACAAAACACCATTATACTAATAACATACATACACGACCCTTTACTTTACATACTACTCAGTATCTTTTATAATCGTGTTCACCACAAGCTACGATCAGTATCACGGCATAACTGACATTACTAAGTGCCGCGCGTTCGCCCACGAGGTCGCGATTAGCATCACCAAGGCTAGTTTACTCGTCGTCATGTAATCAACTGTGCTTAAAACACTCTATTCGACACATGCACACATTCACATAACACACTGGTCAACACCATCACAAATTATATATTGATTCGTACCTGAAAAGGGGAATAGTTTTAAGATAGTTGGATGAAAAATGCACGGACACAATCTTTCCTCAGGTTAAGTGTATAATGACTGAAGAGAGGAAGCGAGCTGCACCGTCATCTCATTCAACCGTCCCCCTCTACTGGCGTCTCCTGTAACTACAATGGTTTTTTCCACTACTGCTTCTGCTGTTAACATGACATGTTGCACATGAAAGATAAAGAATAATAAAAGTGCTGTAACTGTACAGTAACTGCTTCCACAAACAATAACAACTTTAACTATAACATATCCTATCTCATTACTCTATAAGAATGGCAACATTACCTGACTATGAACTTGTTAACTATTACTATTACTCAACTGTTTATCCTGACTTATTGATACAACGCCTTATTTCCATCTGTCACACACACACACAAAAAAACTTTCAATTTAAATTTGCATGAGGAAAATTTCAATATGTAGACTAACAATGCTGACTACTGACACACATAACAGCAACATACACACGCAGGTTGGCTGCTGCCTCCGGCTGTCTAACCAGTTATTGGTTTTACTATTTTGCAAGTAATCAATACAGCCAGACTAATTTTCATATTTTAAAAACAAAGCCTTACAAGGTTATAAAAAAATATAATATAATAGAATGGCAGACATTTAGGCCAGAGGGCAAAGATAAAACATATTTATGTCAATATATTTTAACTGTTATTAAAAATAAGAACAAAGCATGCATTCAAGAAAGATGAACAATTATAAAAACTAAAAGACGATATACGCTTCAATGTATAAAAAATACATTGATTCTCATTAAAGATATATTAAGGTTCTTCAGTTGTGATTTTTCTCTTTTGTTTCACCTAAATGAAAATTCTGTCATTTACTCTCTCAAGTTGTTTTAAACCTGATGTTTATGTTGAACATAAAAGTTATTTTGAAGAATGTGAGTAAATAATATGACACGCATATGGCAAACATTGTTTCGATGATTGCTGTCTGAGCAGTGGTTCTCGAACGGGTGTCTTCAGGTGGTAGATCTGTGGTTAGTGTGTGCGTGACAAATGGACACAATTCGCGACAGAAAAATAATTTGAAAAACACGAAAGGTCATGTCCCATGTTTCAATTCTAATATCTACAATTTTAATATACAGTATTTTTATGTTTCTATATTCAGTGCAAAAAAAATTGTATGTAAATCTTAACAAAATGGTGCCGTATTCTGTTTGCCTTTATGATCAATGAAGGATTTCTTGAAGGTAAGCATAGTTGGTTATTGAAGAGTGTTTTTTTTTTTGGCTCAGAAACTTTTTTGTCCTTTTCGATAATGAAATGCTGAGCAGTTCAATTTATTTATTTATTTATTTATTTATTCAATAATAGTGTTTTTAAATAAGATTGCACTATATTTACAATTATGTTGCAGCATTTGCATAACAATATGTTTGGAACCAAAAACTAAATATTGTTGAAGGTATTTTTTATTTTTTCAGATTCTTCCACAATTTTGCAAAAGTGTGAGTCAAACAACTGATGGGGTCTTACAGCAGCATGATTTAATTGGATATTAATAACGATAATCAAAATTTAATTTTATGTTAGTAGATAACCTTAAGCTTGTACTCAGAGGATTCATGACTGATTTGATCAGAGGTGTAAAGTTTGTGATCCTCTGCATTACAGCACTGTAAAAACTATTCACCAGAAGGCAGTTTTCAAGAGCAGATTTATTAAACAAAGAAAAGTGAATTGGACAATAAAGGTAACATTAACGTGACCAAAATACGTACAAAAAAACAAAACAAAAAACATCCTACAAAAAATACAAAAGATACATCCTCCATTATCAGAATCCACTGAGAATCAAAAAGACCCGTGGAAAGAAATAAGCACAACAAATACAGTAAGATGTGGTAATAACAATGAAGCAGGAAACTAAAGACAAAAACTACTGGAGAACAGCTCACAGTATTTGTGTTACAGCATCCCAAGAAAGACTTTCACTATTCAACAGGAAAATGTGGCCTTACACCTTACAGTAGACTAAATATTAATATACAGTTTTGATATGTAATTAGTTTTATTGTCTCTGCACAAATACTCTAGACAACACACATATTTGTGAAACAGTGCCATTGTTTATCAAGATTCACACAAACTCACAAATCAATGAATTATCATCATTTTCAAAGTGCAGTTTTATGATTTTTCTTTGCTGAGGGATTTATTGTAGCAAGTTTTTTTCATGTATCCCTGTGCTCTGTGTTTGTCTTCTCCTGCTCTCTTCTTGATGTTTTCCAGTATTTTAGCTTTTTGAGGCTCATTAATTTCCTTCAGTTTCTCAATCAGAAAATCAACATGTTGGAGTGTGTTCAGTGAATCAGTGTTGAGTGCGATCATCTCCAGACTATCCACACAGTGAAACGCATCCATCACCAGCTTTATTTTCACTTTCTCTAATTCTTGCAGTTCTTCTTTCAGCTTCTGGACCACAGACTCACCTTCTCTAACTTTAATGATATTATCATCATCATATTTCTTCTTCAAATCTTCATCTATCCTCTTCTCTTTCTTTGTCTTTGTTACATATATTTTTGCTTCTTTGACATGTTTGCTGGAGTGGCATTTGTTTGTACACACTGTACAGTGATAATCTTTCATCACATGACACCACGAGAGATCTTTGACCCACCAGCATCCTGGATAATGACAGTTCTCTTCACAGACTCTGCAGCACATCGCCTCTTTGGCTACAGAGCGATCAATATCAACCTTCTCTCTGTATTTCACTTCAAATTCATACTCAAAGTTCTTATTTTCTTTAACAACTTGATTGTGTTTCTCCAGAGCTTCTTGAGTGTGTTTCAGCTCAATCTGCTTACGGTCTATCTCTTGAATATGTGATTTTATAGCAGAGATTTTTGCCTCAAACTCCCTCTGTTGTTCCAACACATGTTGGGTCATCTTCATGGTTTTTGGTTTTATGTTGTTAAGAAACATGAAAAATCCTGTAATTCCTCTAAAACTGAGATCCCATGATTGCTTCTGGGTCATCTGATATTCTTCAGGAAATGTCTCTCCTTGGCAGTTGTCAAACTGGAAATACACCGCCTGTTTCTCATCATTCACGGCACACTTGACTTTAGCCTCTTCAACAGCCGTCAGAGCAGATTTAGGGACAGATCCACGAGAGTGTGTGAAGAGCAAAACTATGTTTTCATCAATATTACTTCCAAACAAAGACTGAACAGCATCAAATATGTATCGTTGTCTGTCAGAGAGTCGATTCTGTGTTGCTTTAATCACCAGACACACTGCGTCTAGTGTCTGGATGCATTCGTCACATTTGCTTAAAACAAGTAAGCTCTTGGCGATCTCTTTATCTTTCTCAACTCCACGAGTGTCTCCATATCCTGGAGTGTCGATGATTGTTAGATCAGTTTTACTCTCTTGTATATAAAACCCATAAACAGTGATGATGGAGGTCTGACTGTGAACTGATGTTTGATCATCATCTGTGATCTCAAACCAAACCTTGTCTTCTCTCTGAACATCTAACATGTAGTTGATCATATTGTTGATCAGTTTTGTTTTTCCTGTTCCTGTTTCTCCCACCATCAGAATGGTTTTATGGGGTTTGGTTTTGTCTCTCTCTCTGAATGTGATTTTTTTATATGGTTGAGATTGATCATGAGAGTCTGTTGTTGGTGTCAGATGGTATCGTGTGGGAATCCCCTTCTCAATTACTCTACTTTGCTCGATGATTGCATAAAATTTTTGTAATCCTTGCTTTAAACTGTCCATTTTTTGTCTATAATATAAAGAAAAAATATAAACATACAGTTAGCCTAAAATGTAAATAATAATAAAATAGGCTTGAATGATAACAAAATTATCTTATCGTCAATAACATTAATATCTTCAAGGATATTAATAAGAGTTAGAAAGAGTACAAAGAGAGCTACAGTCATTTAGAATAATATACAGTGTAGTACAGTGTATGTCTTTTGGGGATAAATTATTGTTACTATACTTGTATTTGCCTTAAAGGGATAGTTCACTTTGAAATTAATTGTTGGTATGTTTTATCTTACCTCAAGGGCATCCAAGATGTAGGTGTCTTTGTTTCCACAGTATTTTCAATTTTGATATTTTTTGGTTAAACCGTTCTTGTCTGTCAGTCATATAATGGAGGTCTATGGTCACCACCTCAAAGAGCATGCACAGAGAAGTCCAAATTAAACATGATTTAATGACTCGTGAATGTAAGTACACATTGATGGCCTAAGACACGAAACGAGCGGTTTGTGTGAGAAAACCAACAGTATTTATATCGTTTTTACCTCTTGTAACCACAGCCACGTGCAAGTGATCTGACGGCACGGGCGCTTCGGTCTGTGCAAGCGCCAGAAGTGATCTCTTGCGCGTGTACGTCACTCTTTGTTTATACAGAGATTTCGGAAGTTTTACCCTTTCACTGTGAAGATCTAAACATATTTACACAGGAAATCACAATGGAAGATGATTTCGGTATATCTGTTTAGATCTTCACATAAATACTGTTGGTTTTCTCACACAAACCGCTCGTTTCGTGTCTTAGGCCATCAATGTGTACTTACATTCACGAGTCATTAAATCATGTTTAATTTGGACTTCTCTGTGCTGCTCTTTGAGGTGGTGACCATAGACCTCCACTATATGACTGACAGACAAGAACGGTTTGACCTAAAAATATCAAAATTGAAAATACTGTGGAAACAAAGACACCTACATCTTGGACACCCTTGAGGGAAGCTGAAACATATCAAAAATTAATTTCAAAGTGAACTATCCCTTTAAAGTCTGCACACATGAAATGACAGTGATTATCATTCTTACTGTTCATCTGAATCTGTCATGACTGGTTCCAGATTTGAAGTCCTTCAAGTTCCCAAGCAAATTATTGCTAAAGAAAGTAAATATGCATAATATTTTTACAACAATCACCAGTTCACAATGAAAAATGAAACAGTTTTTTTTATGCAAACAAAATTTAAATTGTTTATATTAAAAATATTGGGAACATTAAATATATCCTTCTCTTTTGTCCTATTTCTATGTTTATAAGCCCTATATTAACAATTATCTATATCTATACAATTATCTACAATATACAACTAACAATTTGAGATACTAAATATCATCATAACACTACAGCACTGAGATACATCATCTATTGAAGAGCAATACACATTTACTTACATATTACCTGTTTGTTGAAGTTCTTCTTTGTCTAACTCTCTTCAGGTGCTTGTAGATCGGAGGAAACCGTTGTATTTATACACTGGCCAACACCCATATTTGAAGATCACATGATTTAGAAGAAAGTGTAATATAGCAGAAAGCATGAAGTTGATAAAAAGTTGATTACACATTCTTCTAAATCATGTGATCTTCAAATAGGGGTGTTGGCCAGTGTATAAATACAACGGTTTCCTCCGGTCTACAAGCACCTGAAGAGAGTTAGACAAAGAAGAACTTCAACAAACAGGTAATATGTAAGTAAATGTGTATTGCTCTTCAATAGACGATGTATCTCAGTGATGTAGTGTTATGATGATATTTAGTATCTCAAATTGTTAGTTGTATATTGTAGATAATTGTTAATACCTAGGGCTTACAAATACAGCACAAAAGAGAAAGATATATTTAATATTCCCAATCATTTTAACATAAACAATATAAATTCTGTTTACAGAAAAAACTGTTTCATTTATGTCTTTGTGAACTGGTGATTGTTATATAAAATGTTACGTGTCTTTACTTTCTTTAGCAATAGTTTTCTTGGGAACTTGAAGGACTTCAGACCTGGAACCAGTCATGACAGATTCAGATGAACAGTAAGAATGATAATCACTGTCATTTCATGTGTGCAGACTTTAAAGGCAGATAAAAGTAAAGTCACAATAATATATCCCAAAAAAGCACTTTACAATTATTCTAAATGACTGTATCTCTCCACGTCTTCTTTTAAGATGAACAGACTAATGTTTGATCATTGTCCCCATTTTCCATATTGTTAAAATAACTACACACACACACACACACACACACACACACACACACATTATAACAGCTTTGGTGTCAGATTTCATTGGCTATTACATATGTGTCATGACTGATTTTGACTTGCTAAAGTTTGGTTTTATCTTTCGAAAGATATGACTGACAGAAAGATTTTCAGAGGATTTCAGAAAAGTTTTACTCTGTTCCTCACACAAAGATATCATGAACTGCATTTCATGTGTTCTACACTGTAAAACCTAACCATTGTTTGCATTAAAATAAATTGAGTTTACTGGGCTCAAATATTACTGAAAGCTATGTGGACACAAAGACTGAAACAGAACTCAAAAGTTATGAGTTAAGGCGGGCATACACTGTGCGATTTTCGTCCGATTTTGAGCCGAATTCTGACTCGTGCGACTCTTTTTCCTGTCGGACCGATTTTCAGCTTTGTCGTGCGTCGTTTGTCGTGCTGTGTTCGTGCAGTGTACAGGGAGAAACGAGAGGCGATTAGCCTCTCACGATCGACAATCGGATGGTCGGATGAATTTCTGGCATGTCAGAAATTTTGGTCGCTCCTCGTGACTATATCGCACAGTTGAAGCAAAGCTATGAACCGATTGCCCCAAACTCAGTGTTTTTTCCCTCACTGCACCTGCGCGAAAACAGAAGTTTAACCATTTCATCTGCAGCAAAAATAAAATTAAAATAAAAACGAAAAGAGGGAGATCTTTAAGTTCTGTGGTTCAAACTAGCTACAAATTACTGTTGCTTACCTCCAGTTCGTGTTGCAAAATGGATAATATTACCCACCGTCTTCCAAGCCACCTGCGATGTAACACCTCTTTTATTAATTTGTCAAACAATGTTTTTTGAAATAAAAATAAAAGTTTTTAATTTTCATTGATGATTAATTATGTCAATGTTCGGACATATTATAGACTGTTAATAGTTATTTTATATGCCTATAATTCATTGTAATCGACCTAAATGTTTTAGACAATTTTTAATGAGGAGTAAGATTATGTAATATTTTATTATCCTCACAGCACGTTGGTCATGTGCTGTGAAAATATTGCGTGGCAAATTAATTATAATAGCGGATCAATTTAATAATAAAATTAGCCTATAGGCCTCCCCTAATAATGATAATACAATAATACCAATAATAATTAAATGTATAAATTGAAAATGCTAAATTATCTTGATACTAGCAGATGCTTGTTTTGACAATATCCCTGGATACATACACGTAAATAGGCTCAATCCAGGGGGTTATCGCAGATATTACACGTATAGTGTGAGCAGTGAAGTCGCAGCTCGACGATCGGACCGTACAGTGTGAGCACATAAATCCTGAACTTTGGCTTTGCATCGCATGCGATTTACTCGTTCAGTGTGAGTAGGTACCTTGCTGAAATCGCACAGATATCGCACAGTGTATGCCCGCCTTTATGGAACATTCTTGATCCCAGAATGATAATTGAATAATAATTGTATAGTTAAGTTACTAATTAAGAGATGATTGCGCATTAGTGATGAACACCTGCTGTTAATAAGCAGAATCACTGAAGGAAAGAGGAACAAGGATTAAGGACACCATGATGGAGATCAACGTTTGCTTTAGTTGGTCTCTTGACGCTTGACATTTGCACATATGCTCTTCTTTGGCTGCTGTAATTACTTGTTTTAAAACACATCTGTTGTGGCAGAGAGGTCAAGGAAAAGTATGATGATGATGATGATGATGATGATGATTATCATTTAGTGACTTGACTGACTGATCTCTATCAGAGTCTAAGCTCTGATTAAAAGGGTAATGTTCTTAGTTTAATTCATAACTGTAATGCTATAGTATAAAAGAAAACAAGGTTTTAAATAATTTGGAGGATTTTACAGACGGTTTGTGCACAAAAAAAATATTGCATTACAATTAATAACACAGACATCAAGAATCAGGATATGAATCTCAAGGATGGTGACCATTTGAAAAAACAATTCATACTGCAATGCATGCTGGGTAATACCATAATACACAACACATACACAACTTTCAGCATTCATTGCAGCATGAATCGTTTTTGAAAAGTCACCACTGTTGAGATCCATATACTGATTCTTGATGTCTGTGTAAGTCAGCATGATACCATTGATGTTTTTAAAATCCGATTGTCATAACTTTTGGCCTTACAGCAGAATCACTGTAACTTAAATAGAGAAATTTTAATCAGAGATCAGACAATCACAACACTAAATGATGGTTCATAATTTCATAAATCATTGTCAAAACACAACCACATGCTCACACTAGCTTTCGTGCCATAACAAATGTGTGTCATAAACACTCAGTTACAGCAGCCAGAAGAACAACTGGTGTTATACAGTCAAGAGTCAAGAGCCCAACTAAAGCAAACACTGACCACTATCATGGTGTCTTTAAATAAAACTCAATAAATCATCTTCATCTAGACCTCTGTACATTCACAATAAAAACTTCTGTAGGCGCATGATAAAACTCAAACTGGTTGGTAATAAGTGAAGCTGGTAATGCTGTTTGTGGAGTTGTTCAATCCTCCTCTGCTGAGATCTTTAGAGGTTTAAACATATTATCTTCAGTTGATCTCATCAAATGTTGTGGTTGGAAGTCAGTTGTAGTTCTTGTGTTCATCTTTCCTTCATGATTCTACTGATTAATGGCAGGTGTTCATCTCTAATACTCAACCATCACTTAATTAATCACTTAACTAATCACTCAACTG